CTCTACAAAATCTTTCTCCTTTAAAATTTGGGGATTAAGTGTCCACCTTCTACTCTTCCTTTTCCTTCCTTTCCAAATTATTTTTAATGGGTTATGATCAGCCCATACATTTGTCATAATCTCTATTGTATCTAGTTGGTTTCCTAGTTCTGCGTTCATCCATGCCATATCTAATCTAGACCACGATTTGTGTGGGTTAGAGTAGAATGTGAATTCTTTTTTCCCCAAATTTATTCTCCTCCATTGATCTATCAAATTTAGTTCCTGTGTTATATAGAAAAAGGATCTCGGCAAAATTTTCCTTTTCTTTTTGTTCTTTGCATTACTAAAATAATCCTTCCTTATATCTACTATCACATTAAGATCTCCCACAATGCATACATTATCTTGTTCCATCTCAACAATTCTCTCATGTAAATCCTTATAGAATTGACTTTGGTTGTCATTTGGCGCATAAACTGTAACTAATAACATTGGCTTGTACCCTAATTCTAGTTCAAGTATCAAAATTCTCTCTTGTGGGTCTACATATTTTTTCTACTGCCTTAATTTCTTTTTTAACATATAACGCTATCCCTTTCTGTTTTTGATCTGCCGGGGCTACAAATAACCTTCCTAATTTAGGATATTCTAAACATTTCCAAAATTGTTTTTTAATATGGACTTCTTGCAGGCATACTATTTCTAATTTCTGTTTGGCTAATCTAGATAGTATCTGTTTCCTTTTAATGAGTGAGTTTAGACCATTTATGTTTAATGATAATAGCTTCGTTTCCGTTTCCGTTTTTCTACTTGTGGGATATTATCTGTCTTCTGTTAATTCTAGTCTCTCTTTGCAGGCGTGTTCTTAATCTTCTTCCTTCCGTCTCCTCCTTGTTCTCTCCTTGTTCTAGGCCTCCTATATCTTGCTGTTGTTGTTGTTCTTGGCTTTCTGTCTCTAGCTCCTCTCTACCTCTGCTTTCTTCTTCTGTTCCTCCAATCTGCTCATAGAAATCTTGCACCTTGTCTAAGTTATCTATCCTGATCCTCTTTTCCTGCCATGTTACCAACAAGCCTTCTGGAATTAACCATTGAAACATTATGTTCTTCTGGATAAGTTGTGTTGCCAAAAACTTATAGTCTTTTCTCTGTTCACGCACTTTCTTGGGAACCTGCTTCAGGGTTTCCACTTCTTTATCTTTATAAACCAACGGTTCATCTCGCGTTATCTTGTATATTATGTCATGTACTTGTTTCCTGGCAAATCGCATGTGGACTTCCCTGGGTAACCTGTTACGTCGAGCGTAACTCGTTTGAACTCTATAGGTCTCGTAGATTTCTAGAAGGATCTCTGGGGTCTCCCTTTGTAAAGCTGGCACAAGTAATTCTGCCATAAGCACATTCAGATCTTCATCTCTACTTTCAATGATATTTTGAAACCTCAAGTAATAGGCAGCGTGGTCCATCTGTAGGTGGATAATCTGTTCTTCTAATCTTTTGTTTATTGTCATCATCCTGTTGTCCATTAGTTCCAGTTTCTTTTCATTTTGTACTGTTCTAAGTTCCACCTCTTCTAGTTTCTGTTCATTCTTTTGCATTGTTTGCTGTATAGTATCAACTTTGTCTTCTAATTTATTAATATTGCCTTTCAATTCCATATGATTTTGCGAAATATTCTCTTGTGTTTTTACCTGTTGTTTTTGCATTTTAAGCATGGTTTCTTAAATGGTCATTAACGAAGCCTGTATTGTTTGCATATTGGCTACAGTTTGTTTTTCTGCCCCTGATATTCCCTCAATTGCCTTTTGACTGGCTGGTGATGTAATTGTCAATGTTGGACTAGATGTTGTCTTCTTTGCCGTTCTCCAGGCTGATGTCATGGCACTTGTCTTATTTTCAATTTTTATTTCTACCTATTTTATTATCTCCTTTACAATATAATTTAAACTAATCTCTTACTTTCAATTTATTCCTTCTTCTTTTCAAATCCCTTTATTATAATTATATAGAATTAGCGGTACTTGTTATCCCTTTTTCTATCTCAAAGTCAATTATCACTATATATCTAACAATATCCTACTTAGACAAAGCCATCCTGCCTTTCCTTATGCACAAAATATTAAATTTATTCTTTTTTTCTTTTTATCTATAATAAAAGGGGGAATCTAATTTCCGTTTATATATAATCACCTAGATATACACTCGTCTTAATCTCTTAATATTGTAATCAAAACTTATTTATCACTATATTTCCTTAGTTCAATACACAATACTTAATCAAGGTAATTATAACCTCAAATATCACCCCAATAGAGAAGGAAAGACAAAAAAGCCCCCCTTTTTAGTTTCTTAATTCACTTTTAACTTAGAGCAGTAATCCTAGTCAGTTATTTGTCAATTGAAAGAGCTATATCTGCATGTATCTCTATATATCTTACTCAAACACCCCTTTTCTATTTATTTCTATACACAATGTATTGTAGTTTCTCCTTTATACAATGAAAGAGGGGTCAAGGTTTAGATTATCTATACTCACAACAATATATATTCTTCTTAAACTCTTAACATCCTACTCTAAGATTATTTATCACTATGTTCCTTAACCCAATAATCCTATTTAGTCAAGATAACTATACCATCAAGTTATTTCAAATTAAAGGAGAAAGCCTCCTTTTTGATTTCTTATACCCACAATCTCCTTAAGAGAGTGCTCTAATAGACAAATACATTCAAATCATACAAGTCATACAGATCATGTTAATCATATAAATCAAACTAATATTTCAATACCAGCCTATTTTGTTATCTTTAAAGTTTACAGTTCATACACCTCACTCAAAGATTTCCTTTTCTTTTCTCTACGATCTCACCATCTCAGTCCAAACTGTTTTCCACTCTCCTCTCTTCCACTTGTCTTTCTACTACTCCCTCCAAGTCTTTCTCTTTATGACTCCACTCATACCTCTTTTTTTTCCAATCCTCCTTCGTCGTCTCGTTCAGCCCACTCGTCACCAAAAAATTTTCTTCTCCACTCCCATTAATGTCCTGCCATCTCCTTCCGCTTGAAAATTGCTCAGTCACTCCTTTCTCCGTGTCTCGCCTTTCTCACCTCCGTCGTCCCAACTTTCCTTCTGATCCTTTCAACGTCTCTCCACTTCTACTTCACCTCCTCCTTCCTTCCAAGACTTTCTTTTCTTTCCTTTGTATCACTCTCACATCCCAATCGGATTTCACTTTCTCCACTCACCACATTGGTCTCGTAATCGCCCTCTGTCAAAGAAGCAGAGAGAAGTCAATCGTCTCTCCCTTATCTTTTCACCACCTCCTCTTCTGGCTTCCCTGGATTTTCTTCTTCTCCCACCAGTTCTCATCTTATTTCAATCTCCACCTTTCAGCTTCCTAGAGCTATTCACTTCCAACTTATATCCCCTCTCCTTCAGTCTCTTTCCATTTGTAAAAAGTGCTGAATCACAGCTCTTTCTTCCTGTCTCGTTGCCTGTACTATGGGGTTATCCCCCCTCACTGGAGCTCTCCATCCAGAGATGGAGACCACTCTCCCTTCACCCTTTCACCAAGGCATCACCACCGGAAGTCTCCTCTGATCAAGGAGAGATCCAGTCTAGAAATAAGGAGAAATTTCCAGACACATAGAACAATCAATCAGTTGAACAGTTTACCTTCAGAAGTTGTAGGTGCTCCATCATTGGAGGTTTTTGAGAAGAAATTGAACAGTTATTTGTCTGAAATGGTAATGGATCTCCTGCTTCAGCAGGAGGTTTGCCTACAATATTTCCAAGGTTCCTTCCAACTCTTATTCTGATATGGATATGTAATTTTTCTGTGCAAGTTGCTAGTTGGGTGTTGGGCCTCATCACATGCATAAGCCAACTATTCCTCTCTTCTACTCAGCAATTCTGAGGAAGTAACTGATCTTTCCCCATTGACCTGCCTACATACCCCTCTCATATTTTTCAAATATGAAAAAAGTGAATTTTAAACTTTGTTACCTAGCAAGTACTTTAAATTAGCTAAACCTCTACGATTTTGAACAGGATCCTGGAATGGGGAAAATCTACTACCACAATCTACTTGTTCAGTAAACAAAAGAAGAAAACAGTAGATCTTTTTTCTTTTTTCTCAGCAATCCATTACAGCTTGCTGATTTCCTACTGTAATTTCCTTTATTGCAATTAATTTTGGAAAGTCAGCAGTCCATACCTGTCCAGGCTACTGGCTGATAGCTGCACAGACAGAATAGCTTGCAAGGTGTTTGGACAAATGGATGGAGAGAGTATAAAATTTTCAGAAAGATTTCTTTTATATCCCAAATTAGCAATTTGCTGGGTATTTTTCTGATTATGATGTCCTTATCAGTTTCAAAGGAAATAACTCATTATGACTGTCGGCAAAATTCTTAAGCAGATGTTTCCATCTTAGTTCATAATGAGTGCTCGTGTGCTAGGAGAGTGCAATAGTTTCCCATTCTTCATTAGAAAACATTTAAAAGAGTCAATCCCAATTCTCTAAAGTACATATCCACTAAGAAATGATTGATTTATTTTATACCAATTAATTTGCCATCCTCATAGGCAGTCAGATGTAATCTGTTGATTGATTCTAATGTATTGTTAGATTTGGTAATTATGGGCATCACACGTTAAACTCAGTGTAGACTAACTTGATATATAATCTTCCTCCTTATCACCAAGCTTTAAATATAACAGCAGCTGAAACTACAAGAAAACAAAGCAAAACTAAGAGTTATAGAATGCAGATATATAGAACTGCAGAAACAGATGTTTAAGGACACATAACATTTCTATGTATACTAAGTGAGATTATTTCAAAATGAAACATTAAAATGAAGCATCAAAATGAAGCAATAAATAAACCAAGACTTCATAAAAGAGATGGCTGTGATACAACTAAGGCAATAGTGTTAGATAATTAAAATTAGTTATTATAGAAAGGTGTTCAATTAAGCTAATTTTACTCCTCTCCCTGTCTTTTGTTCATTAAAGGAAAACCATTGCAGAAGGATAAAGATCCTCGGGGATTGTTACTATTGTGTATCAGGATTGACTCAGCCCAAAACTGATCATGCTCATTGCTGTGTTGAAATGGGATTGGATATGATTGACACCATCACGTAAGTACTTTACATCAGTGGTGGGATTCAATTTTTTTTACTACCAGTTCTGTGGGCATGGCTTGGTGGGCATGGCAGGGGAAGGATATTGTAAAATCTTCAGCCAGAAGTGGTATTTGCTGGTTCTCCAAGCTACTCAAAAGTTCCGCTACTGGTTCTCCAGAACTGGTCAGAACCTGCTGAATACCACCTCTTCTTTACATGCTTAATGTAATGTACAGTATTTTAGGCAAAAAAATTTCAATCATTTAATCGTTTTAAGAAAAGTTTCTGAATAGAGCAAAAAAGATAAAAGCAGGAGTAAGATCCTCTCATTACTTCAGGCTTCAGCATTATTCAATGTTGAATACAGAACAGGTCTGGATAATGTTCAGCCATTGAAAAACTGATGTAACTGAATGCTTACTTTCAGCTTTGTGAGTCTCAAATTGTGAAAACGTCCTGCTCTAAAGACCCAAATTCTTCCAAGAAATTTATTTTAGTAGAACAGTATGTTTCAGGGATGATGGGGGATTTAAAAGACTAAATATCCACTGAATTTATCTTCTGGAAAAAACAGTTCTCATTTTCATCAGCAAGAAATAGCAGAGTTTAAAACTTCATCCTCCTTTGTTTAGCTGAGAACTGCTGTGCATTTGTGATTCCTCAGCCCTAAGGATTAACTTTTCATAGAAAACTGTTCAGAGGAACAGTATAAGGATTTTTTTTAAAATTTGTCATAAAATTAATACTCAGTCTAACAAAGGTAGATTAATGTCTTTTCAGAATAATGTCTTTTTATTTTTAATCTTTGAAAACAATTATTTATAACAATATTTTTCTGTGGGCCATGTTTGCTTAGTTACATACAAAACTATAAGACAGTAATTTATTACATTTAAATATTGCATGGTGGTCTCTGCAATTTATCTTTGACATGAACATTCCATTTTTGTCAGCTGTCATAACAATCTAAGATAAATGTGCATAAATTTCTGATATAAGAAAAATAAATAAATTAGGATCGTATGCAAAATAAGCAAATGTTTGTCAATGGAAGCACTGAATGGAAGTTGTATCTGAAAATAAATCAATTTTAGCAAAAGTTGAACAAAAGCAAGCAAAAGTTAAATAAATATATTTTAATGTTAACTGAGTGCATATTTGCCAGGTGACAATACCAAAGTGAAGATTGTAAGGAAAACATTAATAAAATGCCCTTGCTAATAGGTGCACTTAGACTAGAATTAAAAGAGGTATTTGCAAAATTTGTGTAAGCAAGATATTTCTCAAAAGCAGATGGAGTTTTACTTCAAATAGTACAGAATAAGGCTATCTACTGGAAAATAAAGGGCATGGGGGGAGGAAAATGCAATATTGTCATGGGTTCAACATGATTGCATTGGATTGCAACTCTCATATCTATCTCTCCATTGCTTGGGAGTATTGATTCACAGTACACATAATCATAGCTGAGTATTACACTTTGTACTTGAAAATGAAAAGATTTGATTGAAATTCCTACTAACTTGCAAGTAGGTAAATGATACTATTTAAAAAGCAGGGTTGAATGTGAGACAATTTATTGGAGCTCACAAGAAATTCCATGGTTTTTTTCAGTAAGTAAAATGTTTTTGTTACATAGCCAAGAAATATTTGGAAATGTAATACATTCCCTTGTTTTGCTATAAACACTACATATTTATTTTATTCATGAAATTTTGGAACCACCCATCTTCATCACAGAGGGAATCTGGGCAGTGTACAATAAAATAATAAAGCATGAAAAAGGTACATAAGGGTACATTATCATTTTAAAACAGACAAGGATAACTAAAACCACTATTTAAAATCAATTGAAAAACAAAGGGACAGCTTTCAGGGCATTTATCATTCCCATGGCTGCGTGCTCCTCTGCATTGCCCATTATTTGATAATAAGCATGTTGAATTGGATCCCGGAACAAGTCAAGTCAGGTCACATGGTGATCTGCTTTACGACCTTGACAACTTAAACTGTAATTGCCAGGTTCACTTACGGTTTTAACTCAAGGACTGCTTGTACCATAGTGGGTATGGCTTATCTTTTTGAATTAGTGCAATAAAATCTCTTCTCTATGCCACAGAACATGGCTGTGGAAAATTCTAAGCAAAACCGACATTGTCCCAGGTTTAAGGATTTAATCTTATACTGAATTCTTGGTATAATGTCTGCATCTATCACTTGATCTAATACAGCTTCATTAATGCTATCAATATAAATGATCAATAAAATTTTCAATAATATTTTTGGGTTTTCACTTATACATTTGGATTAAGTATTTCATACAACAACCTGTGGAGTCCTGGGATTTCAGTGTTATCCAGAACTGCATTATTTGCTATAGCTAAGCAATGTAGTCACATGACTTCAGGCTTTATGACTAAGCATTACATAATAATGGAAATTCTGGTCCCAATTGCCATTGTAACTCAAGTAGTATCTGAAGTAACAACACTGAAGTTTTTAAATCTTTGATTTTATGAGGGATGGGTAAACAAGATAATCTTTTGATAAATAATATTCTAATTTTTTCTATATTTCAGATCAGTAGCTGAAGCCACTGAAGTAGATCTCAATATGAGAGTTGGTTTGCACACTGGAAGGGTTCTTTGTGGAGTTCTGGGTCTTCGAAAATGGCAATATGATGTTTGGTCAAATGATGTGACTCTTGCTAATGTAATGGAAGCTGGAGGGTTGCCTGGGTAAGTCACAATATGTTTTCCAGTTATTTATTTATGAAGCACAAATAGTATATTGATGCCCCTTGCTATAAAAATAAGTGAAATGCTAGACAAAGTCAAATCTATAACTCTTTTTGTCTAATTTAAATTTGTTTTAATTGTAAATATGTAAACCAGTGGCAGATATGTCCTGATTCCAACTCTTCCTTAGATTTGAGAATAGGATCACCAAAATTACAATATATTATTTTACCATATATCCACCAGTCTCACTTTGCTACTATTTCTTTTCTTAAAAAAAACTTTATGGGGAACACTCAAAGATGCATCTTTGTAGAAAACCTTGTTTTATATTTATTCTAAACTCTTAGAATGGCATGCTTAACAAATTGTTATTGAAATCAACATTTACTTTAACTTTATCATACCATAGGTAACTGTGCCATCCAAATCTTAATTCATCACCTTCTAAAATCTAGTAGTCTCTTATTCTGAAGATTCACCCATTCTTTTAGCTGGACCAGATCAAATAACAACATACAATATAAATACAGTTTCAAATCTGGTAAACCCCAAACCCCTCTTTCTTTAACATGTAATATATCTATAACATGTAATATATATTTAACATGTAATATATAACATGTTTATATCTGATTCTTGGTTTTTTTTCCCTTGTCATATAAACTTAGAAATATTATTTTGCCATTTTTTTAAATGGAGTGTCAGTTGCAAGTATTGGTAATGTCTGAAACACAAAAAGCATCTTTGGTAAGACATTCATTTAATTACAGAAATGTTACCCAATAATAATAAATGCAATTTATCCCATTTTAATAAGTTCTCTTTAATATCATTCCAGAGAGCCACATAATTATTTTGAAATAGTTTTGTCTTTATCAGTAAGACCCCCAAATATTTCACCTTTTTCTCCACTCTAAAACCAGACTTTTTAGTCAACATATCACACTCTTATGAGATCATATTCTTAGAAAGCATTGTTATTTTCTTTTTGTTTATTTTATAATCCACTAAAACCCCAAACTCATTTACTTTCCTCATTAAATGTTCTATATTATTTTTGGGGCTTTGCAAGATTATAACCAAATCATCAGCAAATGCCCTCAATTTATAAACTTCCTTCTTGATACCTGTTATTTTCTCATTTTGCCTAATATTTTGTTCAAAGTTTCCAACCCCAGATAAACAACAAAGGAGGCAAGGGACATACTTTTCTCATACATGAATTAGTTAAATCGCCACTGATAATTTTTGCTTGCTGTGTCATATAAACAGCTTTGACCCCTTAAATAAAGTTCTCTCCAAAGTCCATTTCTTCCAGCACTTTATGTCAAAAGCCTTCTCTGTATCTAAGAACATTAAAGCTGACTGTTTCTCATTATGGTATTGTAAATATTCAATAATATTCAAAACAGTCCTCACATTGTCCCTTAACTGTCTTTTTCACAGTAGGCCAGATAAATCTTTGTGAATATATGCCTGTAAAGTGTTATTTAATCTTTCTGCCAAAATGGCAGAAAAGAGTTTATAGTCCTTGTTTAATAATGAGATTGATCTGTAATTCTTTATCTTCGTAGCATCTTGACTGACCTGTGGTAATAACATAATATTGGCTTCTTTCCATGTTTGAGGTATCTTTCTTTTCTGTAATATATCATTTATTATATCCTTTAGTGGCTGAAGGAGTTTATCTTCAAAGCCTATATAATATTGGGTTGTATAGCTTCTGATATTCCGAAGGCTAGTTACTGGGTCATTTATAAGTTATCTCTGGCTTTGTGAAAATTTAGGCAACCATTGCTTTAACAAATGTTCAACTATTTTTGACATATCTAACTCCTGTTTTTTAAACAAATTGGAATAAAAATAATGAAAAGACTTTTTAATAAGCTCATTATTTGTTACTACATTGTTGTATTCACAACTTTTTTTGGTCATTCTCCTTTCCCTTTTCTTTCTTTGTTTATATGCCAGCCATCTTCCTGATTTATTTGCAAACTCAAAATGTTTTTGGTATTCAATTCAATTTTATTTCTATTTCTTGAATTAATATAGACACTTATTGCCATAACAATTTAATCTGATGTAAAATTTTAGAGTCCATAGGTGTTTTTTGCAATTCAATTTCTTTCTGTCTAATTTTATTCAATATCTTTTGCATTTTCTCCTGGGATGTTTTATTCTCCAGGTGATTATAATGTATGAAATAACCCCTCATAACTGCTTTACTAACATCCTAAACAGTCATTAAATTTGTCCCTGTACCTAAATTATTATCAAAATATTCATTTAATTTCTTTTTACAGTCCTTTGCAATTGTCTCCTTTTGCAAAATAGATTCATTTAATCTTCATCTGTAACTCAAACTCTTTTTTTCTAAATACCAAAAAATCCTGGATTGTGATCAGAAAAAAGTTTTAGGCAAAGTGTCAACTTTTAGAAGGTTTTGGAAGGTTTATAGAAGTGCTTATCGTATCAATCCTTGAAAAGGATTTATATATTTCTGAGAAAAGTATATTATCTAGCAGAGCCATTTCTTTGCCTCCTCAAATCCATTAATGCTAAATTGTTCATTATCTCCCCCCCCCCCCCCCCAAAGGCTTTGGTAATTTACCCTGGGAGAATTTAATCCCTTTAATGGATATTCTATCCAAAGCTAGGGAATTCACTCCATTCCAATTCCCCAGCATAAGCCAATTTTCATATGAAAAGGGCAATAATTGATCCATAAGATATTTTTTTGGGGGAAAAGACTTTTATCATCATTTGGCAATTAAGTCCAACTACTATTGATCTATTAAGTTCACTTTCCACTACTACAAATCTATCATATTCATCTAATAAAAGTAACATGTTTAAACTGGAGTTTTATATATAAAATAACTCCAGTGATCTTTTTTAAACCAGCAGATATAGTTTGGATTTAAAGTGGCAATCCAAAACATGGTTGGTGTTTGTTAAGTTTGGAGAATAAGGAGATCAGACATCTGACCAGTGACTTCAACTCTTTAATAATAACAGGAATCAGAATGGAACAGAGCAATGCTATGGGCAGCAGCAACCCTTTTATAGGGTTAGCTGCTGCCTTACTAACCAATGAAATTGTGCAACAGGTTCCAACTACTGACCAATAAGGACAGTCCCAGAAGTGGCCAATCAGGGACTGGTTCTGGCCCAATCCCAAGTTGTTGTACAAGGACCAATCAAGTGTGCAGGTTTTCAACCCCTAATTTGCATTTAGGTTATTCACTTTTATTGATTCACAACACCCCTCCCCCTTGGGTTCCGTTTGAGGGGAGCTGTGATAAAATCCTCAAGATAGGCAGGCCGTTTGGTCTGCCTGGATGATTTCCGAGGCTCCACCGGATTTTGTCCAACGTCCGGTTCCAGTGGAGCGTTTGGATGACCATTGTTAAGTTCTATTTCGCTGCACGGCAATTCCGTGCTGTATTCACTGTGGATGTCTCTGCTGCTGCGTGTTTCTTCGGGGTTTTGCAGTTAGTTTTCCCCTGTATTAAAGTTCCCTGAAGACATCAACTCCCTCCCCGCTTCACGTTCCGGTGCTTCGCTGGGCTGTAGGGCTCCCGTTGACCCGCTATTAGTTGTATCAAAGTCAATTCCCTCGATACTCCCTCCCCCTTGAGTTGTTGAACCGGGGAAGTCATGGACGCTGGGTGATAATCTCGATCGGAGTTGGTCTATGTGGCGTTTCCACACCCTCCCATCGTCTGTTAGCAGGCGGTAAGATCTAGGCCCGGTGAGGTGGGTAACGGTTGCGGGTATCCATAACGGGTTGCCGGAAAAGTTTTTGGCAAAGATTAAATAGCCTACCTTAAATTCCCGGCATTTGCTGCTGGAGCCGACAGGTTTTTCTGGTGCGAAAGCGGGGTGGAGCCGGTCAAGGTGCGATCGTATTTTCCGCCCCATAAGAAGTTCAGCGGGTGTTTTGTTGGTTACGCTGTGGGGCGTGATGTGCTGCAATAAGAGGATTCGATTGATTTTCTCGTCGATGTTGCCAAATTCCATTTTATGCAGGGTCTTTTTCACAAATTGTACCATGCGTTCTGCACGTCCATTCGCCGCAGGGTGCGCGGGCGAGGTCAGCGCATGGCGGATGCCCCGATCAGCCAGATATTGTTCAAAAGGCAATGCCGTGAACTGCGGGCCGTTGTCCGAGACCAACACGTCCGGAAATCCGTGCGTGGCAAATAGTCTGTTTAATTTATTAATAACTGAGTCGGTTGTAGTTGTGTGCATTCGATGAATTTTGAGCCAGTTGGAATAGGCGTCGACAGTAATCAGGAAAGTGTGACCTTTGGTAGGCCCCACAAAGTCAATATGAATACGGGACCACGGTCCCCTCGGTGTTTCCCATTCGGTTGGGCTTGCTTTCGGTGGGGCGTTGCTGACGTCCTGGCAACGTTGGCACGTAGCGACCCAGGCCTCGATTCTTTTGTCGATTCCCGGCCACCAAGCGTAGCTGCATGCGAGTGATTTCATCCGCACAATGCCCGGATGTCCCTCATGCAATACCGCCAGCACAGTCTGTTGCAATTTGGCAGGGATTACGACTCGATCGCCCCACAAGATGTTCTGTCAAGTCAGCAAAGTTACAAAGTCACCATTCATCAAGTAGACACCACTTTTCATAAGTAAATGATATTAATTCAACCATAAAATATTAAATAAAATGATTTGCCTTTAATTGGTACATAAATTCCTACTATCCAGTGGTGGGCTGCAACTGATTTAATAACTGCGTGTTTGCACAGTGTTAAAAAACCACCAATTTGAACCTCAAAAGCTTATCTTCTAGGACAGCCCCAGTAAGTAAAACAGTTGAGGTGCGGAAATCCACTGTGCTGCGTGAATCAGCTGAGCTCAGAAAGATGGAATTATAGGATAGGATAGAGTGGGGGTGGGTGGGCAGGGCTAGTTCTAGCGAACTACCAGCAGCCACCCACCACTGCTATTACCATCATCTTTATCCCATTCAGTCC